TTGATAATTTTTAGATTTTAATTCGGAATAGATATATTGGAATTGAAATATATGAATAGTTTTACTCGGCACGAGAGAGAGAGAGTAAAATTTTATTAGGGTTCTTGCTTATAAACTTTGAAAAATTGATTAGGAATAATTATAATTGAGAATCATATTTGATAGTTAGGTGAAATCATAACCCTAAACTTTCTCATCTTGATTATTTTTCTAACTTTGTATTTATTTGTTGAATTCATCACCACATTCATCACGTTAACTTAGTTAAAATCATTAATTTCAAACTCGTTCATCTAGATAAAATAAGAGCAACACAATTATAGTACTTAGCAGAAATTAAATATCAATCAATGTGGGTTCGACATCCTAACTCCATTATTATATTACAAAATTTGATACCGTACACTTGCGGTATATTTACGTTGTAGAAAACACATAAAATTATTCAAAGTTTATGTATTATCGAATTTGTTGATCGTGACTTATTGAATGTGTTTTCTATAGTGATTACAACCAGGTCTGTGTGAACAGTGATTTTTTTTTTTTTTTTTACCAGGTCTGTGTGAAGTGTGAACAATTCTCTGTTAACTATCAATGTTTGTATTCTGGTCATAATATATCAAAATCAGGTTACGTTTTACCAAAACAAGGTCACGAAATACCAAGATTAAGTCACATTTTACCCAAAAAAAAAAAAAAAAAAAGCGTCACAAATTACTAAAATCAGATCACAAAATAGCATTTGAAAAAAAAAAAAAAATGAAGTACAAATCACTTACTCATTAGTTTAGGTGAAGATTCTTCAACATTTTTCTTCCTTTTGTGTTTATCTTTAGCTCTTCGATCTTCTTTCTACATCACTGTTGACACTTTGAGTTATCATTTTTTTCAACAATGTTTAGAGAATGTCGCTTAATCAAAGATTTAATGGTGGGAGTCTTCAATGTAAGCATGAGCTGAAAGCACGATGGAGATCAGTAGAGGCTTTCAGATAGTAATTTGGATGAACAATGAAGGCACAATTGGGTTGTAGAAGAAAGGGATTCTAGAAAGAGAAAGTAGTGAGCAGTTATAATAAAATGAATATTTTAAAATATTTGATTTGGTTAAAGATATTTACTAAAAATGGTTCAAGCATTAATTGTCCTTCTCAATTTGTATTAACTAATTTATTAATATATTAATTTTATTTAAATTTAAATTAAGACCTTATTTATGAAAATATAGATTCAACATCTTATTTTTGAAATGTAAAATTAAAATGTAAAGATTTGCTTAATTTTCCCTATGATTAAATACCAAATAATCATCTTTTTACCCACACTCTATATATGCAAACTTAGCAGTGGTCATAGTTAGAGAAGTGAACAATTCACTTTTGCATCTTTTAAATATTTTAAAATTGGATCGACCCGTTTGGTTCAATCGAAAAAATCGAGAACTGAGCCCAAAATAAAATTAAGCCGATTTGCTAGAAAGAGTTTGACACTCCCCTTTACCGACACTCACATGCGCGGAACCCAGGTGAATAGAAAATTCCAAAGAAGTATTCCTCCTATTGTGAATGTGTAGGAGTTAGAAGCATAGCACCATTGGCCCAAAATATGTCCGGTTTTGACTTATTAGAAAACTTTGGGTTAAATACACTAATGACCACCCAATTTTGTATCTAGTGTCACCATAACTACTCAATTTGATTTTGTTTCATCATAGAAACCTAACTTTATATTTAATATCACCATGCCTATCCATTTGATTTTATTTTATCATAGCCATCTAATTTCATAAAATATTTCATCATGAGTATCCGTTCAACTTCTTTTCACCATTTTCACTAATTTTAAAAGGGGTAAAATAGTAATTTTGCAATATATAGAATAATTTTTTTAAAAATAAATAAATAAAAATTTATTTTAAAAAATATAATAAAATAAAACCTTATCTAAAAAAAGTTACTTAATAAAAATAAAACAAAATAAAAAACTTATTTTGTAAAAACTTTATTTAAAAAATAAAATTAAATAAAAACTGTTTTAGAAAAAAAAACGTTTTTATTTTATTTTTTTAAGTAACTTTTTTAGATAAGTTTTTATTTTATTATTTTTTAAATAAATTTTTATTTTATTTTTTAAATTTATTTTATATATAATGCAAAGTTTTTGTTTTACCCATTTTGAAATGGTGAAAAGAAGTCGGGTTGTTATAGTGGAACATTATATGAAATTGGGTGATCATAGTGAAACGTTTTATGAAATTAGGTGTCAATGATGATACTAAATATAAAGTTAAATGGTATGACAATAGTAAATATAAAGTTAGGTGACCATTGGTAAATTTAACCCGAAAACTTTTAATTTCCCAAAGCCAGTTGGACTCATTGATTTTAAGAAAATCAGTGACTCACTACCGATCTTAGCCGGGTTACACTTAAATTAAACCTTTTGAAATTGAGCCCTCATTTACACCACAATCGTTTCTTCTCTCATTTGAGTTCTCTGTGCCATATCAAAGATGGAAAACACTAATTATTTCTTTCAAATTTGTCGACATTCTTGATTCCACATTCTAATTCTTAGGTTGATTTTGTTTTTCTTGTATTGGATTACAAAGGCTTGATTTTTTATTTTTATTTTTTTCTCTTGAACACCTTGATTTACAGGAACTTACGTTTGTTCTCTAATCATAAGGGGCGACAACATGTATTATTTTTTCTTTCCCATACTCATATCATTTACATTATAATTCTTTTGCTATGTTTAACCAATATATATAGTTTTTAGATGCCAATTGCCATCGTTTGATTGTTCTTTCCTTAACCTTTCAGAAGCATTGTTGGTACCCATAAAGAAAAAATTGATTTGAAACATGAAATTTTTTTATTGTTGCTTTATTTTTTAGTTTTTTAAAGATGGTCTGTGTGATGAGTTTTAGACCTTCAATTAGTCAAGTAGCATGCTGGGGAGATATGATACACCTTTTTAATATGTTGTACAGTTATGATACACAAGGGCGAAGCGAAAAATTTGGTGTAGTGGGGGCATAATATATATGTTTATTTCACAAATATAATGTACTTTTAAAATCCTTTGTTTTAGTGTTTAACTCATACCCAACTTCTAATTTAGTTGATTGCAAATAAGGCCTTTATATGAACAGTTGTGTTATGTGTACAATCGAGGTTAACAATCCCGATTGACAATTAGACACATGAGAGGGAGGTCCACGCTGAATAAAAAAATCATGGATCCCTCCTCCTGTGAGTACATTGTCAACTGGAATAGTCAACCCTATTTGTACAAGAAGAATAATTTTTATACGAATGATGGAGATTGATTATGTTTTACGGTTAAAGTTTTTTCAATATTATTTTTTGTATATATGTTTATATGAACTTTTACACAATTATTACAAGTTTCTTTTATCTTTTTAAATGGGACATTCAGTTACAAAACCCTTTTGATATATCTTATTTATTCTAAAATTTCAATAATTTTCCTTTATGTTTCTGAAGTCTTTTGTAAATCTTTATAAAAAAAATTTACACAATGGTTACAACATTCAAATCACAACTAAACGTCATTGTAATTGAAAACTAGATCACAATCATCAAATAATCGAAGGTCAATTAGGTCATGGTCCAAGAAAAAGTAAAGTCACAAAATAATCGAAGAATAATCAGACAACAAAAAATGAGGTCACCATGCAAAGTCAGATCACAACTATGTAATAATCGAATAACAATTCAAAGAAAAATTTATTAACATAATGAAAATCAGAATCAACCAAAAAGTTCGAATACAACTTACCTATTAATTCAAATTTTCATAAACATTCTATTAAACAGAAACATAAAAATAAACAATGAATTGATTTACTTTCTTAGAAAATACATTTTTCACCAGAATCGTTTTTATGGACAAGCTTCTTTATGAGATTTTGCTCTTTTTTCTTTTATCCGTCTTATTTTCATTCTTCAAATGAGGTCCCTGATCTACACTCCTTATTACCATCATTAGTTGGGTTTGTAACCATTTAGGGTTTAATAGAAGCTTAAACTATAAAATAATTTATGAAATTATGAAATGAGGAAAACATATTCAATACTTTCACCATCGATGAAGGCTTCGAATCTCTACTCTCTCTCAGTAAACCTGATAGAATCGCTTGGACAAAAGTATCAAGCTTGTCTCTCAAGAGATTTGGTAGGAGAAGAAGGGAATTTGAAAATTTTGAACAATTTCTCTCTTCCACTATTGATGTTAATGTCCATAAGTAATGCTTAATTAGTTTTTAATTAATGATTTTCTATTTAATATTTTAAATTAAAAAATTTATGGATGTGCTAGTTTACATATACATAATATCTCATGCTTGTGTCAGAATTTTTCAACTAAATAAAAAAATTCCTCGCTCTCTTTTAAACACATCATTTGTATGTAAATGATTATGTTTCTTTTGCACAAATAGCATTATTCAAAAATTTAATATATACCCGTTTGAGCCACATTAATAGGAAAATGAGAATGAAAAATATAGTCGTTACTCGTTACGGGCCCTACACAAGAGATAGAATTTCAAATATGGTGGCTTGATGTGATGGATAACGGTCATATTCTTCATTTTAATGATTAAATAATAGAAAACAAACGGGAGCTATATATAAACTTAAAACCTGATTATTGAAATATAAAACTAAAAATCAGAGTATGTGCAAGGGTGGAGCCAGCACCCGGCGAGGGGGCACGACCGCACGTGCTGGCTCCATCGAAATGTTCAGAACCATCGGGTAGCAATCAGTAGCAGGTTGTAGTTGCAGACTTGTAGAGCCAGCTCGAGATGGAACTTGGAAGACGAAGATGAAAGAGACGACCTTTTTTTTTTTTGTTGGACTGAAGTGAGTAATAGAGTTAATAAGATGTTGGGCCTCTTTTTGGTTAGCCCAATAAATTCCCAAATGAATGAAATAACAACTGGTCCAATTTCCTCATCATCATATCTATTCTATTTTCAAATCAATTCCAAGGATCCAATTGCCCAAATCGTGAATGGTGAAAGCCGAACTCTTTTCCTCTCCTCCACTCTCTTGTACAGACGGCTCAAACTCCATTCTATAATTCCATTCAAATCAAAGAAGCAGCAGCACCGACGCCACGAGGAGGAGAAGGAGTTGCCGGAGCCCAGAGCCGCCAACGATATGATCTGCTGCCGTCTGCCATTTCTACCTTCTGGTCTCGACTGATGATTGGTGACTCTCTCTCTCTCTCTCTCTCTCTCTGGGTTTTGTTTTTGTTCTATTTTGGATTCGCCTCTACTTGTTGATGTTGATTGTCGGATAATGATTCTAATAAATATGATTTATGTTAAGTAATTATGTTTTATGAGTTATGATTATTGATTTGAGAATTTATAGTTCCGAAATTATATTTGCGAATTGTATTTTATGATAAGTAATTTACGTTTTATGAGTTATGATTATTGGTTTGGGAATTTATGTTTACGAAATTATGTTTGCAAATTTTGATTTATGATAAGTAATTTATGTTTTATGAGTTATTATTATTGATTTGGGAATTTATGTTTAGGAAATTAGGATAAATGAAAAAATTTAATTGAGAAAATGTTGGCCGTTCAATTCCATTGAATAACTTTTAATATTATTAATAAAATTTTAATAAACGATGGGATTATTACGATTGTTGATTGTCGACGATCAATGGTCAACGGTTAACATCCGCCCTAGCTGGACTTCGATACTAGATTCGCCCCTAGGTATGTGTTATTTCCCATGTCTGTTTGGTAAGGGGCGTTCCCCAGTGCGAGGAAGGCTTGACGTCCGCCAAATGGCGCCCCTGTCTGTCCAGGGCCCTGGACAAGGGGTGTTCCCCAGAGCGGCCTTGTTGCGTCCCAATTAAATTATTCTTCCTTCTCGGTATTACACTAAAATTGGGCTTTTATTCATCACCCCCGGCACCAATTTATCTTATGTTGCAGTGATTTCTTCTCAGCTTCTGCGTCTCCAAACTTAGAAGGTAGTATCATATTAGTGTCAAAACGGGCTTTATATGTTGAAATCGACTCGATTTGTTTGTTGTGAATGATTTAATTTGAACTCAATTTATTTTATTTTTCCAGATTTGTTGTTTCTTGATGGTAATCTTTCTCTAGCAACAGTGATTTTTTCAACAATATCTCTCTTGAATTCTTGATGCGGTTGTTTATGGTTTTCTATTGGTGACATACACAGGACCAAAATCCAGTGGGGGCAAATGGCTGCGCCCTGATACACCTTTTTAGTTTGTAATCCTATTCATACCAGATTAATTAACAAGCTTGTGGTTTCTTCAAACTACCTTAAACCAAACAGGCAGCTTTCCAGTCTACTGGCAATATATTACACTACTATTGAATGCCTGATAGTTATGCTGGAGAGAACCAAGTGAAGAACTCGGTGATAAACCAAGTAGAATGAGCAAAACTGAACGATCCTTGGATTTCAGACATATAAGAAACCATATAATAGAATTTCATGGAACCATGAATTTTATTTTCTAAACTTGCTCTTGCAGTAATTTACGTCTATTTTATCTTCTATCTAGTTTGTTTACCGCAAATTGCTTCTTTGCTTAATGTTATTGACTTATTTTACAATGTGTAATGGAATTGAGTAGCACTTTATGTTTTTTATTGTATTTGATTATTTTTGTTAATTAATGTTTTGAGTAGCTAATAGCCTAATACAGTTTTTGTGATTTGATATAAAAAACTCGTGTTTCATTCTTTTCTTTCTTCATATTTTTTTTTTCTTTTTTTTTCAATTTTTTTCACCAGTTCGACCACGGTCGACCCTTTGATCCTTTACCTTTTTTCCCGTTTTGGTTTGATGGCCAGTCGGTTTTTAAATCAAAGCAACATCAATTTGCAAAAGTTTTTCACTTACTTTGAGTTGCAGTGAGTGAAAACTTGCCACTGTGTGATGCCCAAAGAAAGATGTTTGGTGAATCGAAAATTTCTACATGACTCATGTACAATATTGTTTATATGCATTAGCATTTTACTCTCGCAATTGGAGTAAGTGGTAAACTAACCATCCGATGATGCTCAACAAAAGATTTTGACAAAATGAACAATTTATGCATATCCTTGTGGTTTGATTGGCAAATGTCAAAATTGTGGCATTGGTTAACTACAAGCCATGATGGTGAAACAGAAGCATTTGTTGTCTTTATGACATTGGCCGGTAGTCAACTGTGATGAAATTCTTGTTTTTCTCTTGTGATGAGTAGATTTTATTCCATGATTAGGATTTCATACAAAATTTAATTGATTTTGTAGCTGGGGAAATCAAGATAACGCATTTTTGAGGACCCCAAAGCTGTAAGATCTGGAAGGGCATCTAAATTGAGCACGTGAAAGTAATTGCTCTTCCCCTTCCCTGAATGTGGTATTTTAGTTAGTACCAAAGTGTTGCAAGTTCAAGTGCAGTGGGAATCGGATGGATGATTTTTTGAAGAGCAACACATTTGCAACCCATGCAGTTGCTGCTGTAGGGTCTGTGGCATTAGGCACTGCTCTCTCCTACCCTCTTGATACTCTCAAAGTCCTTGTGCAGGTACGAATTTCTCAAATAGACTTTTTGTCTGGACATACAGGATACACCCATGCATAGCCCTCATTAATCATTTAATTCTATGTACCACAAAAAACAGGTGGGCTCTGGTTCTAGGAAACCGCTATCTATGGCTCAGGTTCTCGATAGAGTCCGAGCTATCTCTGGATATTCAGGTAATTTGACAATTCCTAATTTTTTGTTAAGAATTTCAACCTTTGGGACAGCATCAAAACTATGAGTTTGAAGTGATATAATTTTCATGCCCGACATCTTAATGGGAAACCACAAGGGTCTGCCTGCTAGAAGTTGAGGCAAAAAAATTGTGAAGGAATCAACTACTAGCAAATACAAGAAAACTTGGTCTGGTCAAATATCAAATATGTATAGATTCTTAAATGATAGTTATGTAGGATCTCTAAAGAAATTGTAGCTCTCAATTGAATATATTTAAATGTATTTTTTCTTATAGTCAAAGTTAAAAAAATGGTTTCAAGAGTTCCTCGAGCTTAAGAATTTGATGTTTTGAGCATTTTCCCTCTTTTGAATGTTTTTATTATGGATCCTTGAGACGCAAAATCCTGCAAAATGAACAGATCTAAAGGTGCTTTTGATTGTCAATATTTTTCATGGGAAATGCAATTTTTCCACCCAAATTCCTACTTTTGTGCTATTTGATTAATATTTTTTTATGGAACACATTTTTATACTTTTGGTCATATGATCATATTTTCCTTGAAAACAAGGAATATATTTTAGGGAGAATAGGTTTTTATTTTTCAGGCAATTCTCTCACCCCTCTCTCATCTATCCAAGGTAAAAAGTGGACAGTACAACATTTTCTAGGTTGAAAATTAAACCAATCAAACATATTTAATTGACAATTTTCATGCACATAAGTTCTAAGCAATTTAATTGCGTGGAATTCATTTTCTTTCCATGTAAATTCCATGCTTGCAATCAAACATACTCTAAATGATATTTGGAATAGAAAGGGTTTTATTTTCCTTTTGTTAGACTAGTCAAGCTCTCAGCATCCCTATCTTTTCACGTTTGTTATATGATTTCATTTATGTGAATATATTATTCATTAATGAAAAATTGAAAAATATTTTTCATTCTCAAAGTTCAACTCAACAGGGTTTTCCTTCGTAAATATTGTAGGTTTGTACAGTGGTATTGGTTGGTTGATTACTGGTAGAGCATTTGGCTTGGGATTTCGCTTTGGTGTTTATGAGATATTGACAGCATTCTATAAAGGTAAACTATCCTTAATTTTTGTGCATTTTTTGTGTTTATTTTTTTGGCTTCTCTATATGAGTTCCCGCTATCCAGTCAGTTCTGCGTGCAGGATGCAGCATTTTCTTGTTATGATAAAGACACTGCTCTGAAATTGTGTATGATATGAAAATGTTTACACTCTAGAAATTGCTATTAGAAAGTATGAAGTGCATGATGAGATGGGTAGCTAAGAATAAGTCTTAGACAAAGAGTTGTGATGAAGATATGCACGATATTTATCTTTATTTTTCACCTCAGAAATATCTAGTTAGTAAGAGAGTTAAGTTGTAGTGGCAGAGTTTCCAAATAAGATACTAGAAAGCAAAATGTATTAAGGGTAATATATACATTGATTAAAGATGAAATAAACAAACAACTTATAAGGGTCCATGCTACTTCTCTAAATAAGGTTGACATTTTAAGTTGGAATCTTAGTTCCTAATACGGTGTTAGAGGTCATTAAGATCAAACGAGCAAATCGATACATTTAAAGCTCTAACAAGAATTAATATTCTAAGAATGGTGTGCTCAAACGAGCTACCATCTTGTGGTAGCATGTTAAAGATGATATTGCTCATCGATTAAAGATGAAACAAATGAACAATGTATAAGAAATTTGGCTACTCCTATTATTAAAGTTGACTTTTTAAAATCGAACCACAAGTTTTAATATGGTATCAAAATTCATTATGCTTAGACAAGCACTCCGGTCCGCCAAAAGCTCAAACAAGCATTCAGATTCAAAGAGTAGTGGGTGGGTTCAAACGAGTCACCATCTCGTGGGGACATATTGCCGATAACAAGGTTGTGTTTTAAAATGAAACCCGAGTCCTAGGTTGGTTAGAATTTTGATATTTAATGGTAGGGAGGTTCAGCAATTTATAGTGCTCGAGTACAATGGAGTTTTGCATGGTTATTTTCGGACCAGTAGGTCTGACAGAATTATCCCCTGCAGAACAAGCAAGCATTTGTCATGTACATATATGTACACTTGTTCAGATCACTTGTGCAAGTATTTAAGATTCCAGTGAAGTATCTTTCAGTTTTTCTTCATCGTTTACTTGTTTCATCAGTGTAAGAACAGATTCATGCTGCCAGCCCTGTTGATGTTGTTTACATATTTTGTCACTTGCCAGTTGAAATAGCATCAAAATTAAATTTATTAGAAAGAAAATTGCAGTGATTTGGACATTGAAAAAATGCGGCAAATTGAGTCCTGCATTGTAATAATAATGGAAGTAGTTTCCAGTGAAGCATAGAACTTGAAATTTGTTGTGTATGAAGGATAAAATTAATCATCATGTTAGACAAAGGTGCTGATATGAACTGCACGTGCTTATTGTTATTTGATTAGTGGCTATTGAAGCTTGTTTCTAATTGGATGCTGCAGATGACCCCCTGTTTTACATGCTCTTCTCTAATATACTTTGTTTGTTTGAAAGAAATAGACAATGTCTTAATGTTGTGGGAATGATGGTCTGTGACTTTGTGCTTCTGATTTTTTTAAGCATGCATTGTTCTATACTAAAGATAATGCATTGCTCTCGATTTTTCTTTGTCAGATGGTCGTGAAGACAATTATGTGTATTTCTCTGAAGCTCTAATGGCAGGACTTGCTGCTGGAAGTGCGGAGTGTCTTGTAAGCTCTCCATTTGAACTTATTAAACTCCGTGCCCAGGTGGCTTCTGCTTCTCGCATTTCACGCCCTCCACCCATTGCTGAAATGAGTGCTGTTCCTCCTTTAATTGCAAGGTTACTGCCTGGATATTCACTGGACATGAGGGCAATGAGTAGCTCGGTCGGCCTTTTGTCCACCTTGAATAAACATGCCAATACAATAGATGCGTTGAAAGAATATCCATGGATGATGACAGGATCTGGGAGACCTCCACCTGTCAGTAATGTTAGAAGGCCATCAGATGTAATCAGTTTGGAAGGATGGGGTGCTCTATGGAGAGGCCTTAGACCTGGATTAGTCCGAGATTCCATTTTTGGTGGTGTATTTTTTTCAAGCTGGCAATTTTTACACAGAGCGATGCTGGAATGGAAAGCGGTTGGAATGGATCCGATACCCAGGTTTTTCATTTCCCAGTTTTTGGTATTTAACATTTTACTGTTGGTTTAACTCAAATTTCTGCCTTTTTGATCATTTCTGAGCACTATTAACTAATTTTCTTGGGCTTATCAATTTTTATCATCTTTCATGCCAATTATGTAAAATTTCGTAAGTGACGTTTTGCCAGTAATTTTTTTATGAATAATAGAACGTAAATATTTTTCCTCGACTCGTGTGCAAGGTTATTGTTAATGCTATTTTAGCATTTGTTGCTTGTGACTTGAATGTGTACCTATCTACGAATTTCCTACGAGATAAATGCAAAATGTATTTAAAATGCTTTCTTATTTGCCTTATTTTTTATTTACGTAGTTCAAAAAATTGTCTTCAGGTTCGATGAAGAAATTGGTCCATTGTCTCCAGTAGCTGTTAGTCTTGCAGCTGGAGTTTCTGGTTCAATAGCTGCAGCTGCTTCTCATAGTTTCGACACAGCCAAAAGTCGATCACAGTGCATTGTGCTCCCTAAGGTACAGCGCATAGCAAGATAAGAATTTGGACCTTAACCGTATTCTTCAATGCTTTGTTGGGTTCTCTTTTTTGTTTGTAAACAACTAACATTTTTGTTCGCAATGACAGTAAGACATATTTCAATGATATCTCAGTGACAGTTGATTTTCATGAAGAGTATTGCCCCTTGGGTAACATAATCACTTTTGAATTGTTATTTTTCCCAGTTTGTATCCAAGGAGAGGAAATTCCTCAAATGGAATAGACCTGGAAAGAGATTTGAGAGACTCACCGGGATCCACCCTGCAGATAGGAATATACTGATGAATGGCATATGGCTGCGGATGGCTCGTTCTGGACTTGCATCGTTTGTGGTTGTCGGAACTTACTTCTGGGCAGTTGATCACCTGGTTTCGCCATGAATAGTAAGACAGCTTTATTTCTTATGGAATGAAATGGCATTCTTCTTTGATTCTTAGCGAGAAATCTTCGAGTGCTGCCACTATACAATTTATCTTATTGAAGAGTTCATCTTGTTGAGTATGCAAGTTAGACTTGCTAGAAAGGAAATTTTTGTTAGTAAAAAATAATTTTGAAAATCATGATTGGTAAAATAAGTTTTGACTTGCAAGATTTGTAATAGATTTTGTTAAGTCTTTAAACTTTGCTCTCTCTTGTAATCTTTATTCCTATGTAGTGGACTTTGTTGTACCTTAAAATTATTATGTAGTGGAGGATGGACATCAGCCATTGTAAGCTAAATTTGGACCGAATTATCTACGGCTCCCAAATTTTAAAAATTTGCATTCCAAATAATTTAGCTGATGGTATTTTTGATATATATTTTTTTTCATTGGTAATTACTGACAGAAATTCTTCCCCTAAATAAATAATAAAAATACAATAATATATATTTCTGAAAGAAAAGTATATAGGAAAAAATTAAATTATGGTTAATAAAAGAGTTTCTTATTGGTGATCATTTTAAAAAAAATAATAATGGAGAAATTAAAATAACAACAAAATAAAAATTAAAATAAGTAATTTATGATTAATGGTGGAGATGTTTCGTTGGTGATAATTTGAAAAATTGGTCTTAATAAATATAATTTATCAATGGGAAATCCAATTTTAAATTAACAAAATATAAAAGAATTAAATATTAGTTCAAAAAAATTATGTGGGTTAAATAAAAATTGGAAAATATTACGATAACAAACGGTTCTTCAGTTACTAATATTTAAAATATAAATAGTTTAATAAATTTGATTTATCGACAATATTTTTACCAATGAATAAAGTTTCAGTAATAAAATAACATTTTAAAATTAACTTATCATGAGACTATAGAAAAATTAAAAAAAAATTAAAAATTGAACTTAAATGTCATGGACTCGTAAAATATATAAAGAATAAAATTTCCGATGGTGATATCGATTGCTTTCATTAGCTATCGAAGAATTGTTGATAGTTATATCGTCTATTATAATATCTTGATAAACGTGAAGATGATATTAATGACATTGTTGTCGATAATTCCGTTGAAATCGCTCGCTTATTGATTCCCATTAGAATCTCCATCAAGTACCTAAGAAATTTTCGTTAATGATTAATTCCCCTATTGCACTGCCGATCAATTTAGTACGAAAATTATACATTGGGTGTGGGTATACTTAGTCTGCGCTCTCGACTCTACACTTTTCTTTCACATCCACAAGTATAACAAACAATTCAAAATAATTGATAAAATAATGTAGTTTTACAAATAGTCATACATTGTAACAACACAAGAAACTTCACTAGACAATTTCAAACCCAATTCTATTCACAGTTATATACAAAGGCAGTGGCAAGCTCCCTTGGTATGTACACAAAGTTGCTAAATGGTTCTGTTCAAGAACCGTTTGTGTTGCAGATGAAAGAAAAAAAGCTACATTCAGAAGACCTTCAGTACTGCTTTGCTCGAAGTATGCACCCCCGTTGCAGCAAGTCTCAGAATGGCTCGACTCTTGTACAAACTGCAGAGAGGAAGATCAGGTAAGCAAGTCATCACTCGTGGCCCGTGGGTGTTAAATATGAATGCATTGTATACCAAGAAGCTGGAAAACCAGAATACCCATAAGGTATCTTGTCTCGACTTTACATATCAACTCCGGTCACATCAAATGCAAATATTCAAATTATCAACATTTAAAAGAACCTGTATGTCAAATTTGATAACCAAGAACTACCAGCTTGATACTCAAAGAATGACCGAGGGAAACAAAATTTGAGGAGTGTAAATCTGAACGTTTCAAATTCAAACTAATGAAGTACCAGAAGGATCTCATCTTCAGTAACGAAATCATTCCATGTCCACATAACCCCACTAATCTTTTCTTTTTTCATCATTTTTTATCCTTGAATTTTCTTCATTTGCAGTGTTAGCTCAACATGTGGCTCTTTAATAACCTGTACTACGCGAGTTTTTATATTTTATTACTGCAGAACACATCTAATAGCAATTGATATTATCAAAATAGCTGTGATATTGGGCTATTAGCATTGTATACTAGATTAACCGTTAAAGAATTTGTGTTTAGTAACTGTCTGTGCTAGCGTGCCTAGGTGAGTAAGTTTAATTGATTTAAGTTAGTTTTGAGTGCAGTACAATATTTTAACCTTGACAATTGAACTGGTATAGTATAGTCATGAACGTACCCAGTTAGAGCAAGTCCCCACATGCCCAGGGTGTACAACATCATTCCCGCATGCCAAATGTTTAATGCCTTCTCCACCTTATTCATGCCTCCCAATGCTTTTGTGATGGCTGCAAGTAGTTAGATTGCATTGAATACAAATCAAACAAGACAGTCGCAACAAAGTTGAAGTAAGGAAAAACTAGCTTAAAGGAAAAGAAGTTCCCAATTTTGATCGGGGTTGTGGGTTTTTGTAAGTTTGGGTTGGGGGCTTCTACATAATTTAATTGTGAGGGCAGACCAGTAATAGGACTCCAACATCTCACGGATCCAGTAGACACATAACGAGATATCTGATTAATTTAGGCAAAGCATAATTTTGTCCATTTCTTGGTTTAAGCATGTGAGACAAAGTAAAACAAAAACTTGAAACAGAAACATTTTAATTTTTTCTACACGTCACCTGGACGTTTTCGAATAAAACTTCCTGCTGCACCATAACTCTTTAAGCCAGGAAATGTAATTTCCATTCTATAATTGGTAAATACCCTGCAACTTTTCTGATAGTTAATCCTCACTATAATTTACCTGAATCTACTCTTCACAGCACAAAGAATAAATAGTGTGCTAGTTTGGAATAATACTATAATGTATAAAATGTACCGTAGCACGTTAAAAATCATACAACTGAAAATTCAGGAACAAGCATAGTAATATTTAGAGTACACATATGGTACTCCAGTCGAATTCGTGCTTTATCAAGTTAGAACTTGTAAGTTGTAACCCTTCTCTTAACCTGGTGCATATTTCGGAATAAATTTAAACACTGAACTTTACAGTCTTCCACTTAACTTTTTGATCTTTGATCTTTTTGGACCCCATAATTTTATCCTTCCTGTGTTTCACCGTATTGTGGACAAGACATAGTGGAAGATAACAGAATCTGACAACTAACGAAAACTACAACTACCTTTCTAAACATTCAAGGACTGCTTTTAATAAGAACAATAATGTTAGCTCTAACCTGTTTATAGAAATTAAACGACGCACCCTTTTGAGAAGTATACATAGCCCACCAAATATTGAATTCATTTATGTCAAATTGCCATCATTATTTCAGCGTCACATAAATTTCCATATCCTTCGCTAATTCAGCATATCCTCATCAGTGTTCAGTCATAACAATCATTTTGAATAGCTTTATACATCATTTCATATTTCATGTATCGTTGTGGAATACCATTTTTCATTCCAAAACCTAGGGCAAATAGGCAATTCATATTCTGTGATGTAACAAAATAAATGAACCTCATCAGGTCATTATAGTGTTAATGGTAACACGGATACTTCCAAAAAATAGGTCCATTTTTGTTCTTGATTAGAGATTATCCTTAAAAGTCTACATCATCTCATCCATCTTGATTGGAAAGATATGTTACAGCACAAATATAAATTTTATATAGTTACTCGAGCTGAGTTCAATTTTTGTCAGGTCTTGTAAGTTAACCATTTTTATCTTAAAATGGCGTATTATAGATATGATAAAAGGATAAACTTAACAATCGTTTACTTAATTCCTTGATCTTTGCTCTTTCTGGACCCTAAATAAATCCCTCCACTGTTTAACCAATGTTGTTGACGAGACATATTCGAAGATGGCAAAATCTAATCTAACAACTAATAAAAACCAAAACTACCCTTTTTAAGCATTCAAGGACTGCTTTTGGAAAGCACAAGCATGAGCTCTCTAACCTTTTACAGAAATTACAAAAAAGGCACCCTTTTAAGATGTATGGTTATCCAACCAAATCTTCAATTCAGTAATATAATATTTGACATCATTATTTCAGTGTCATATAAATTTCAACATCCTTTGGTATTTCATTGTATCCTCATTTTTCTAGATCAGCATAGTGTTCATTCATGACAATCATTTGAATGGTTTTAGGTATACAATAAGATGCTCAGATCAATAAATCAGCAAGGTTTTCTCATCAGAGAAAAATTACATTATCTTCTGCCATTTTGACATGTTCCGACATGTTCCATCTCCTCAAATTCCTCATTCAAAAACTTGGCTTCATTTTATGTTTTAAAGAGTGTGTATGCATATACTATTTTCTTTCCAAAACCTAGGGCAACTGGTCTATTCAAATTGTGATATATAACAAAATAAACAAACCTTGCCAGTTCCTCAAATTGTGCTCAACAGTGCAGGATATATTTGAATAGGTCCATTTTTGTTTTTAAGCAGATGTTATCCTTAAAAGTCAACATCATCTCATCCATATAAGATATCGTTACAGAGAAGGGAAAATGTAAAAGGATTGATCGCTCGGCCATTCATAGTAAAAATGAGCTGGATGGAAGGATAAAATTTCTTTTCACTTGTTATGTACAGGCTTCAAGAAAAGAAGAACCTCTATGATGGCATCTGTCTGGTAATTAAAGAAAGAGAAAGAGAAGAAGAATATACCTCCCTGCAGCTGCTCAGGAGTCAATTTCTGCATTTGAGACAGACAAGATAATTAGTCATCTATCATTAGCAGAAGAACAACTAGAAGCTTCATTGTTAATCTGTATACCTGAGATTTCGGGTTCGCCACCAAGCATCTGGCCATGAAATTGGCCACCCCTTCCACCACTTGCTCCTCATTCACAACTACATAATTGTCATTATCAATTTCACTCCGCTCTTCAGTGTTGCTCGGAACCATGTCCTCAGTGACCCAGACCCACCAACTCGGCTCTTCGTGACCAACATTAATCAAAATCTCCACTTTCTCCAAATCTTTATCTGATCACATTTACCAAAAGACGAATAAAACCATCAAATATTAATTTTTTACTGTTCTAAACTTTCCAGAACAATCTGGATATGTTTATTGCTACAAACAGTTTGAAAAATTTATGGCAGCCAAATGCACAGCGCTGAATGAAAAAAAATAAATAAAACCGGGAGAATAATTAATCTATTTCCAAAAGAAGACTATTTTCCTTCATCAATTGTACATTGCTCTGCGTTATTCATAAAGAATATAAACATATTAATAAAATAGATTAATGTATATGAAGATAAAAGTAAAGAAATTGGAAAGAAAAATTAAAAAACCTGACGGCTCGTTAAATGGAAACTTGCACGCAGCACCCTCCATAGAGTTCTGCCTCAGATTTTCGAGTTGATCCAGGAATCTTTCAGAATTCACAACTGCTAAAAGGCGCTCATGCAACTGCAATTAAATCAAATTTTTTTTTTTTTTTCAAAAATGGAATAAAAATCAACATCCCTAAAATTATAAATAAATAGCAACCAAAGACGGTAAAAGTGCGAATCTGTACATCGGGAGGGCAATTCTGTAATAAAGAAGGTGCCGATGATATGTTTCGGAAAAGGGTCAGATTTTGTTGAAGTAAGTTCCTGAGGCGTTGATTTTCGGATCGTAAGGATTCCAATTCCAAATCTTCTTTGCCCGGGGGCGGAGGCAAAATGGGCGTTTCCCTGTGGTGGCTTTCAATGGCGGTCCAGGCCACGTCGGCCACCTCCAACACCGTCTTCGCCACCTCCAACGACGCGTGACTCCTCATTATCTCTACGTTTGACGACTGTTTCTGCGTGTAAATCATTATACTAATGTGTTGCTTCTGATTTTGGACTTTGCATAAAATAATCCAACGCATTATTGTATTATTTATTTTGGACGCGTGACTTGGCATTCTTTTGTTTCAGGCTCTTTTGACATATACTTTTTGAAAAGTAAAAATTATAACTTTTGAAAGGGAAAATTGAAGCTGAGGTCTAAACTTTTCACTTTATTGCAAAATGCACATTAGTCTTTTATTTTTACTGTCATGGTCTCAAATCTTTCACTTTAATGGTAGTCGGAGTACATCGGACAAATTTTGTTCAGACTTTCGTTAGTCAACACTGAAGTTGAAATTTTGACTCAAATTGACAAATTAAATGAGAAGTAAAATTGTAAACTTATATTTTTATAATAAAATAATTACAATGATGGAGAATTGTAACTACGGTACCAAATCTTTATTTCATTGTAGACTTGATCCAAACTTTTCATTTGTGTGTGCAGGGTACCAACTCATTGAAAAAATCAAACTTGAAAGTTCAACTGAATGGAAACCACCCATTTGACTTATCTTGACCAATATTTAAAATAGTAAAATGGTGAATGTATTTTTTTCACAAAAAATAATTATAAAAATAAATAAATAAATAAACCAAAACCACCACACAATCTCCTTCTTACTTAACTTCCTCACCCCAAAACCAAAACCAATCCCACCTATGTGTTGGTCACCACTGCCACTACCGACGATATCGCCTCAACATTGTCAATAAGAAAAAGTTTTGATTTACGTGTAGAATATTTTATTATATAAATGTGTAATTGAAAATAAGTATGTTTGAAAAAAGAATTTGAAAATAATGATTGTCAAACATTAAATTATTTTACATACATCAGTTCACCACACAAGAAGAATGATCACGTATAATAGGTGTGGGATTCTTGAATACTCATATCTTATTCATTGAAATAAAGAGAAGAAAAGAAAATCTTACGTCCAACTCAAATTCAATTATAAATAGATTTTTACCTAGCTCGTACTTATTAATTTCTTCCTCCAAACAGTTATAAGTATTTACTATTAGGATCGTCAAATTGGATCTGTCCATTGAAATCTTCTAAGTTTGCCCGATATGGGTCCAACCGAACCCCTTCTCTAATGATTCGACGGTTATGAAACAAATACTTACATAAGGAGTTAGTAGTCAACTCTTCCTCTAAAATTTATATTTCTCAATAAAATAAATACTAATGGAGGGGAAAAAGTTTAGCTAAAACAAAATATTTTGAAATTACAAATCTACACTCGAGAGTCTGCCCTTCTGAACCAAGCTAGCCGATCAAACACCACAGAAAATAGTCCTCCCCCAAATCACTGGCGGACCCACAGTGGGTCCTGGTGGGTCAAGTGACCCACCAACTTAAAATTCAGTTGTTGTTGTAATTTTATTTTATTTTTATTTAATTTAATTCAAATTATTTATTTATTATTATTATTATTATTTTTTTTTTTTTTTTTTAAAAATCATTTGAAGACTTGTTCTCTAGGAAATTATTTCTTTTGTATTTTCCTATAAAATGGAATTGGGGATCGACTTAAGCGCTCCAACTTCTATCTTTGTTTTGGCGACTTTACGATAATTGTTGGTGTGATTTTTTTCTTTGTTTGAACTAAAATACAGTTGATAATGTAACACTTAAAATTTGCTATAATTTTTTGTATTTTTTTACTTGAATTTATTGTTTTCATTGATTGTGATGGAAAAATAATTTAAACGTAAATATGCTTTTTGTTTTGATGATCACAATGTTAATAAAAGAATTATTCGAGATAAAAGTGATGAAAATGATGTTGGAAATAAAAATTCTATAGATACAGCTACCCTGTTCGTATTACCTAGGTTTAATTTTCGGTACACGTCGCTAGTGAGGTTTATTGGTTATTTACTTTATACTCATTGTTCATATTTATTTTGGTGGGTTTGTTTTGTGATTTTATTTTTAATGTAATTTTATGAGTTTTATGCTATCTCTTTTTTTTTTTCTTTTTTTTCTTTTTTTCCTTTGGGCAGGTCTATTGTTTATGGGGGAGACGGAAGAGGATTTGAGTTTCAATGGGGTATCTGTAGGAGGAGCAATGGAGGATGATGATTTACGTGATCTAAATAAGGAACCCATTGAGGAAAAAAGAAAAAGGGTTGAGAATAATTCAACTGGTAATGAAAAAGAGGGGTCTTTTGGGGGTTAAATCGTGTCACGGTAAGGGTGGGGAGGGTTTTGAGGTCAATGACAATGGCTTTGAACAATGCTGAAAAGCAAGTCATAGAGACGTAAGTAGTTGTGAAGGAAGTAGTGGATTTAATAGATGAGCCAGGTGTCGCTATAAGAAAAAAATAATCATTTGAAGACTTGTTCTCTAGGAAATTATTTCTTTTGTATTTTCCTATAAAATGGAATTGGGGATCGACTTAAGCGCTCCAACTTCTATCTTTGTTTTGGCGACTTTACGATAATTGTTGGTGTGATTTTTTTCTTTGTTTGAACTAAAATACAGTTGATAATGTAACACTTAAAATTTGCTATAATTTTTTGTATTTTTTTACTTGAATTTATTGTTTTCATTGATTGTGATGGAAAAATAATTTAAACGTAAATATGCTTTTTGTTTTGATGATCACAATGTTAATAAAAGAATTATTCGAGATAAAAGTGATGAAAATGATGTTGGAAATAAAAATTCTATAGATACAGCTACCCTGTTCGTATTACCTAGGTTTAATTTTCGGTACACGTCGCTAGTGAGGTTTATTGGTTATTTACTTTATACTCATTGTTCATATTTATTTTGGTGGGTTTGTTTTGTGATTTTATTTTTAATGTAATTTTATGAGTTTTATGCTATCTCTTTTTTTTTTTCTTTTTTTTCTTTTTTTCCTTTGGGCAGGTCTATTGTTTATGGGGGAGACGGAAGAGGATTTGAGTTTCAATGGGGTATCTGTAGGAGGAGCAATGGAGGATGATGATTTACGTGATCTAAATAAGGAACCCATTGAGGAAAAAAGAAAAAGGGTTGAGAATAATTCAACTGGTAATGAAAAAGAGGGGTCTTTTGGGGGTTAAATCGTGTCACGGTAAGGGTGGGGAGGGTTTTGAGGTCAATGACAATGGCTTTGAACAATGCTGAAAAGCAAGTCATAGAGACGTAAGTAGTTGTGAAGGAAGTAGTGGATTTAATAGATGAGCCAGGTGTCGCTATAAGAAAAAAATTGAAGGGTCGATTGGGGAGACCCCCAAAAGTGAAAGTTGATTATGGGGTTTGTGGTTTGAAAATTAAAGAGAAAAATGATGAGGTAATGGAAAGGAAGTTTATAGGGGAGAGTCATAAAGGGACTGGCCGATGTAGGAAAAATGTAAAGGGTTAGCGTGGAAGACCATCCAAGATTGATAAGATCTCAGGGGCCATTGGTAAGAAGAAAAAGACAAAGGGTAGATGGGGAAGACCACCCAAAATGGAGAATGGGATTTCAGAGATCCTTATTAAGGAGAAAAAGACTAAGCGTCGTGGAAGACCACCAAAGATGGAAAATGGGATTTTTAAGGTTGCTTATAAGGATAAAAAGAATAAGGCTAGCCTTGGAAGACCTCCCAAGATAGATAAAAGCATTGCTGGTGGTACTAATGTGAAGGGAAGGTTGGAACTGATGGTGGAGAAAAGAGATTAAAACGCTATCCCAATTATTTGGGAAGTAATGTTAAGCATGGTGAATCAGATAAAATCGAGAGTGGAGAAGGAAAGCAAATGGGACGTAGGGAACAACAGCAGTTAGTGAGGGATCAAATAGTTGCTCTGCTGAAGAAAGCAGGTAGGACTATTGAGTACATGCCATGACAATCAAAAGATTACAACGATCAAGTATATGTTGGCCGTGATGGAAGAGCTTACCGGTCCTGCACCCTGGCTTACATGGTGCTCAAAAAGAAGATTGAAGATAGAAAAGCAGATGATAAGAAATGTTATGTATTTTTCCAATACCTGAGGAGTTACTCAGCACACTATTCAGAATAAGGAAGGATGAAGGAAAGAAGAAAGGGAAATGTACTGGAAAGATCGGTAAAGGTATTGCTAAGAAGGCTTTATCTAAGATTAAGACATTAGGAAAAAGAATCAAGTCAATTTAAGCAAGGATAGAAGAAGGACACTGTTAGCCCGTGAACCAGGGGAGGGATCAGATGACTATGAACTATATGACGGGAAGCGCACTTTGCTTTCGTGGATGATTGATTTGGGAACTGTTCCTCCAGATGGCAAGGTGAAGTATAAGAGAAGCAGGAATAAAAAAGGTGATGCTCGAGGCAAAGATTACAAGAAAGGGAATTTGCTGTAGTTGTTGTGATAAAGTACACACAATACGTGACTTTGAATCTCATGCGAAAAGTGAACCTCAAAAATCATATAAATGCATATATTTAGAGTCCAGAAATTCTCTTTTACAATGCCTCATAGACTCGTGGAATAAACAATTGGCAACTGAACGCATTGAATTTACTTTTTGTGGACGTGGATGTCGATGATCCTAATGATGATACGTGCAACATCTGTGGGGATGGTGGTAACTTGATCTGTTGTGATGGTTGCCCATCGACATTTCATCATGGCTGCTTGTGTATTAAAGTATGAATGCGCTGCCTTGTTTTCTTACCTTTCATGCTTTTCCAGAGCTCATCTTTCCTTGTTAGCTGTTTGATATGATTCTATTAATGCACCTAGAGTTAAATGTCATTTTCTAAAGGTAGTCGATCGTGTAGGTCCCCTTAGCAATGAAATTAATCTGCATTCAATAATTATGTTATGTATGTAAATAAATGCTTAATTATAGGGATTGATACCTTGATTATAGGATTCCCTAGTTAGAATAGTTTCCTAATTTAAATTTCTCTATCTGTATATATGGGTGTATCTTCCCTATGAATGAATACAGAGAAAAATAATTTTCTTTCATACCTTACATGGTATCAAAGTCCTAATTTACTTACTAATGCTTGTGATTTTGGTTGACTGGCTCTCGGCTTATCCTAGTCAGCGCTCGCTTCTCATGCACCATCTGGCTGATCGGAGTTTTCAATCTTCCTATATGATTTGCTGCAAACTAGTCCTGTGATCTTGGTTAGAAGAGTTACAGGCTCATTGTTCAAGGTCTCCGTGTTCTTCTCCGTCTCACATCGCGACTCTGGGTTCGTGTCGCCCAGTGGTGTTTGGTATTTCCTTCGTAGTTTAGCTGTTGATTCTTGGTCGCAGTAGGTTCCAGGCGTCTCGGTGTTGGGTTGTCGGATTCTTCGATGTTGGGTTGGGGAAATCACCTCTCCAGTTTGAATTATCCGATCTCAGGTTACGTTCAGTTTCTTCTCCTTCTTTTCCTGGATTGAGGTTTGGATTGTGGTAGTGTTGGGCATTGTTTTGGGCTTCAATTAATTGAATAGTGTTGAGCAGTGGTGTTTGGGCTATTGGACTTAACTAATTATTAGTTGGGCTATTAATTAGATATTGTTTGGGCCTATTATTATGGGATTTGCTTGTTAAATTTGGGATAGTGCAATTTGGATCTTGTCTATGACTAACAAGCAAAAGGATGTAAGCATGACTGATGCCATTCCAGTGATGTCCAAAAATCACAGAACATAAATTTGTTGGTCCAAATTACTTAGATTGGTGTAAGACAATTCGAATTTATCTGCGAAGTATTTTCATGGACAATCACCTTACTGAAGATCCACCAATAGATAATACTTGTCAGACATGGTTAAGAGATAATGCCCGATTATTCATACAAATCCATAGTTCCATTGACACGGACATAATCATTGTGAGTATGATAAGGAATTAATGGAATATTTAGAATTTATGTACTCTTGGAAAGGAAATGTGTCACGAATTTATGAAGTCTGTAAGGTTTTTTACCATGCTGAACAACAAGATCTGTCTCTTCAGGCTTATTTTATGAATTTCAAAAAGATATACGAAAAACTGAATGTCTTGTTACCTTTTAGTCCACATATGAAAGTGCAGCAAACTAAGCTGGAGCAAATGGCTGTGATGAGTTTTATAGCTGATCTTAATTCTCAATTTGAGACTGTTAAATCTCAGATTCTCTCCAGCACTGGGATTTTATCTTTGCAAGAAACCTTTACTAGAGTACTTCGCACAAATATTGGTGATTCTGTTGCTTTATCTATTCAGACTTTTAATGCTCTTATCAGTCGCAATAGTAGAGGTAATACACAAGGCGGGGGGTATAGGGAGTCGGGTCAATCGGAGTTAGAATGAAAGAGTTGTATGCTACTATTGTCATGAGCCGGGTCATACCAAATACTCGTACAGAAAATTGCAAAATAAATCTCAGAAGTCTCACTCAGTCCATGTTGCAACTACTACTGCTATATCCATCTCGTCCTCTGGGTAGACCATTACAGTTTCTGCAGATGAATTTGCCAAATTCACTCAGTACCAAGAAGCATTGAAGAATTCATCTCATCTTATCTCTGTTGTTGCCGAAATAGGTAAACTTAATACATGTCTTCTCTCCTCTTCCTCAAAATGGGTCATTGATTCCAATGCCACAGATCATATGACAGGTAATCCTAGTCTCTTCTCCACTTTTTAGTCGCATACATCTGTTTCCACTGTTACTTTAGCTGATGGTTCTACTTCCTCTGTTCTCGGTTCTGGCACTATTAATCAAACTCTATTCATTTTTTTATCGTCTGTCTTAAGTTTACCTCAATTTTCTTTTAATTTAATGTCTGTGAGCAAGCTTACTCGAACTTTAAATTGTTGTGTCTCATTTTTTTCCTGATTATTATCTTTTTTTAGGATTTTATGAGAAAGAAGATTATTGGTAGAGGACATGAATCTTGTTCTCTATATTATAGATACCCAATTGCCCAAGTTCATTGCTTGTTCAGGCATCTTAACTCCTTTTGAAGCACATTGTTGGCTGGGACATCCATCTTTATCTTTATTGAAGAAACTATGTCCTCGGTTTTAGAATGTGCTGTCTTTAGATTGTGAGTCGTGTCAATTTGCGAAACATCATGGTGTGTCCTCAGTTCCTCGAGTCAATAAAAGAGCTAATTTTGAATTAGTTCATTCAGATGTTTGGGGTCCTTGTCTAGTCGTGTCCAAAATTGGATTTCGGTATTTTGTTACCTTTGTTGATAATTTTTCTCGCGTGACTTAGCTTTAGGGTCTGTTTGATTGTAAGGGCGGAATTTGGGTGGAAAAACAACGAATTTTAGAGAATTGAATTGTCTAGAACTTATTTTACTGCAAATTAGCAATTAAATGTGTTTGATTGGTATAATTTTTCACCTGAAAAATGTTGAAATTTTTTATCCTTTAGTGTTCGTTTGACTTTATTTTTCATGGAAATTGTCAACTAAAGGGACAAAATTTGTTACAATTAATGATAGAATTTGTTCCAATTGCAAAAAATAAAAAATAAAAAAAGTTGCTGGAATTTTCCACAAAACCATAGAATTGGCACATGTGCGAAGAGAAGTTGGAAAACAAATTCCATGAAAATTTTTAGCAATCAAACAACACAAATTGGGTGGAAAATGGAAAATATTTTCCATTTTCCATGGAAAATCAAGGCTATCAAACAGGGCCATATTTAATCAAGAATCATTCTGAATTATTTTCTCATTTTAGGGTCCTTTGTGTTGAAATTCGAACTCAGTTTAATGTTACTGTACAGACATTGAGAAGTGATAATGTCAAAGAATATTTTTTCGATTCTTTTCAAACTTAATGCTTTAGAATGGTATTCTTCATCAATCCTCAATTCTTTTCAAACTTACAAGCTTCGGAATATTTTTTCGATTCTTTATGTAAATAGATGCTTAATTATAGGAATTGATAGCTTGATTATAGGATTCCCTAGTTAGAATAGTTTTCTTATTTAGATTTCTCTGTCTGTGTATATGGGTATATCTTCCCAATGAATGAATACAAGGAAAAATGATTTTCTTTCATACTTTACAAGTTCTATTTGCTGAAGGTGGACCCCTTATTAGTCTTGTATACTCTATTTAGAATATATTCCTTGTTAAAAAATTTGCTAGCAATTTTGTATGTCAGACTAATTATTCTGAAACACTGGAACTAGTTTGTGGGCTTTCACATACAAGGCATAGCATGAAAATTTAAAACAGCCTCCCCATGCAGCTTGGTGACATGTAATGATTGTAGCCCGACATTGTCCCAGTATGCTGTTTTTCTTGGCTGAGCAATGGCCTATTCCGAATAGCGATTTCCACTAAAACTTACACTTTGGACTTTTGCAACTGTACAACTTTAGATGCTAGATAGTAGAGTATCTATAAGGAAATCTTTTCATAAGCTAATTGAATCTGAAATAGATTATATTTTAAAGGACCAATACTATTTACTCTGGCAAATATTGGCATATCTTGATTCTCAATTTTTAATTCTAAGTTTCAGTGAAGTCCTTACTCGTCCATTTTGGTTTGCAGAAGGTCCCATATGGAGATTGGTACTGTGCTTATTGTTCCTGCAAATACTATAGAGTGTCTGGTGGAAATGCCTATACAACTGATGACAATAGCAATTCAATTGTCTCTGAATTGTTAATGTGCCGTTTGTGTGAGGAAAAATTTATTGATCAATTGCTTCATTGTTTCTCAATTCCTCATATGCTCCCCCGCTCAATTTTTTTCCTATCACATGTCACGGGTGGCCTTGTACTAATTATATGAAATCCTTGTGTGTTGAAGACCATGTTCCTTGTATTGAAGGTAGTGATGATATAATTTTGAACAACAACAATCCATCCTTTTATGGGAGGGAATGTCAAAAGGTATAACTAATGTATCCATCTTTAACGACATTTGGTTCGGCTTTTACTTTTCTTAATTCGTGGAACTACGGTTTATCCTATCATTCTTTCGTGGGTGGGAATGTCAAGATGTTTATATAATGCAAATGCATCCATCTTTGATGGCATTTTGATCAACTTTTACTTGTGATATTGCTATTAGAACTATAGTGTGTCATATCTTTCTTAAAGATGTTTACACTTCTGGATTATTAGATTATTGTTTTGGATGTGTAATTTTCTGAAATCTTTCTAATCTTATATATGCATTTCTACCACATTAATCAAGTTAGGCTCTCTATATTTAGCTCAAGTGATAATTAGACTCTTTGTTTCTTCATTTTATTTTGGCGCTGATAATCCGACACTTTGGGGCACAGATTTTTCAGCGCTTGCATGCACTTCTTGGAATTAGATAGGAACTAGAAGAAGAATATTCCTACACTATTCTTCAGCGATGTGATATAAGCTGTGATGCTTCTGTCAGTGGTGATATTTTAGAGGTTGAAATCAATTCGAAGTTAGCATGGCATATTCCGTTATGAATGATTTTTGCCTATAATTGACGAGCGAAGTAAAACAAATGTGATTCACAATGTAGTCTACAGCTGCGGGCAAGCACTCTGTGCATGCTTGGTACACAATAATATAGTAATAATATTTTAGCTTTGCATTCTTTCTTAATATTGTCAAAAGTAAATATTATTGACTACTTTTCCATCCACCTTTCCGTACATGCCAACTGTGTTTATGTTTAGATTCAGTACATTATATGATTTATGCACAAAAATGGAGCATTTAAGAAACATGTAAACATTCATTTATATTCAGTTCTGGGGTTCATAATCATAGCAACTTCCTGAGTGAGATAGAAGTTGCTTTGCTTTTGTTTTCCAACTATATAGCATTGATAATATATGTGGGATCATAAAGTGGAATCAAATTCAAATATCTTTGATGGAGGATAAAATAAGGAAGCAGCAAAAAAGAGGGGAAAACTCGAGAGAATGGGGGAGAAACCGGAGAAGAAGCAGAAATTCAATGGGGAGAGTGGAAGGGAGAGGAAGGAGACGCCAAAAATCAATCTCAATTCATCATAATCAGCAAATTGTCCCACAATTCCAGTTATCGACATATAGATAACAAAAGAAACCTAATATTCACGGGCTTGGGCCAAACCCACTAGACAAGCCCAATGAAAGAAAGACATCAATAAATAAAACAAGTAAAATAATTGGGCCGATGTCCGCATCAACTCTTCCGAGGTTGGAGAAAAACTCGACCCTGACGAGTGGGTAAATCACAAAAGCTGCAATCAAGCTGATACCCAAAACGCTTCAAGTCATGCCACGGAAGATGATCTTTCTGATGAACCAAGTATCGAAAATCAATAAATGATAACAACGCCATTTGCAAATTATCCCCAAGCATAAGATTTGACCAAGACGAGCGGGGCAAAGGAAGATCTTACTGACTCCTATAAAGTTCCAACGAATCTGGATCACTCTAGTGAAGTCTTTTTTTGGGGATCCATGTACCATCAGAATCAAGTCGATTCACTCAACGAACAAGAAAGCATTGAATCCCTCTAACATTAGTCAACACAATCTGATCATCTAAAATAACATCAATCCTATCTTTGTGTGCTGTGATAGGTAGTATTAAAGTAGACATAACAAAAGATTCAGTGTAGGAAATCCCATGTGGAGGTAGAAAATGATCATCAGAGGGGTGAAAATAGCCTTTGTAAGCAACGAAGTCCTTAACAGTTAAAATAGAGTAGTGGCCAAAATGTGATAAAATATCAATGACACATGCATTTGAACCAACATATTTTAAAATTTCATAAGGACGAGCACTATAAGCTTGCAATATAACATAAACTCAATATTAAATTCAAAATTTCGCTTATGCAAATCAACTTGAAGTTGATATAATGCATTACTTGCTTCAAGTTATTTATTGATCTCAATATGCAAGTTATGAAGATGTGATACAACTACCTCAACTGACATAGACACATGAGCATGTGGGGTCATGGGAATAAAGTCTAAAGTTTTCCTAGGTTCATAACCATGAATGACTTCAAAGGGGCTCGTACTTATAAACGGATTCACAAAATTGTTATATGTAATTTGCACTATTGGGAGGATCAAATCCCAATTCCTAAGATTTTCCTTGAAAAGGGCATGATTACACAAGTCATCAGTACCTTTGGCTTGGGTAAAAGTATAACACATAACATTTGACTGAGAGGTATCGGGAACAAGGGGTTACAATACCTAGATTCATAAGAAAAGTCCGAATACCATCTAAGGGGGTGTTCTCACTATCATCCAAGTCATCAAATTCTTCAAGTTTAGATTCATAGATTTTATCTTCCAATCACTCATCTCTTATATTCTTTTGTTCTTCAATGACTAAAGCTCGGCTAGGACATTTAGAAGAGATGTGACCAAAGTCCTTATAGTTGAAAAACTGCAAGTGAGAAGCTCCTGGAATTTCAAAAAATTTACCCTTATTTTTCAACAGAGGAACATTAGATGGGAAAGGTCTTTTGATAGACCTAAGAGGAGGCAGCGATGAAGAGATTGGTGGACGACGTTGATTGCTATTTTCATAAGGAGTACTGATAAGTAACTAATAAGCTCGGGCTAAAGAGTAAGCATAATCAAGAGAAGAAACGCCTTGAAAAAAAAAAAGCTTACGCCTAAGTTCATCTCTTAGACTTGTTATCAACCTACTCAAAGTCAGAGCCTCATCTTCAACGATATGACATTTCATTCGAAATTTCTTAAATTGAGCAATGTACTCAATTATTGGCCGATTCTCATGTAAGGGTGTTCCATTGGGTAAAAATTTCATAATCTAAGTAACCATCGAAAGGAGGAGTATCTAATTTAATATCTCTAAAGAAATGCTCCTTATGACAAGGAAGAGAATGAATCCCATGATGACCATGGCCTCGTTCTTGCTTATGAACATGATCTTTATCCCTACGATCGTGTCGAAACTATTTTTGATCACCTTGTCAACGACGATATTGTCTATTGTGGGACACTTCAGAATTATTAACATCAGTCGAATGAGAAATTTGCTTAAAATTGTTCAGACTAGCAGCTAGATCTCTACTCTTTTCACGAGTAGCAGCCATCTTGACTTGTACAACTGCTAATTGAGTTTGTAAGTATTGTTGGCTAGTGGCAAGTTGAGCTAATTGTCTAGTGAGTGCATCAAATTATGAAGGGGCATGTTTAGGTACTGAAACTAGAAGTGACAAGACGACTAGTCAACCACAATGCATTCACTGTATTAGCAGCTAAATGACGTGCAATAGATATATCAATGAACAATAAGTGCAAGCACTGGAAAATAACAACTTGAACCCTTTTTTATTTTAAATTTTGGGATTAAATAAATCCAAAGCAAGCTAATACTGTTGGTACATGTAAAATAGCAAAGCAAAGGTCAAACACTAGTCAAATTCTCCAATCACGTTGATAAGTGGTGAACAATGGGAAGTCAACTCGTTCAATAGTTCCTTGGGGTTTAAGGCTAAAATTATGAAGGTAACAGCAACACAAAGAATTAAATGATGCACTTTAAAATGAATAGTAGTGTAGACCAGCAATAAAAAGATCTTTAGTTGCCTGAATTGCTGAGGTATGGCCCCAGTTATGCTTGTGTCCTTTCCTTTGTGTCAAATGTTTCAGCTCTTGAAATCACCCCAGTTATTGTTTGAGTGGTGAAGCAGTAGGTGAAGGATAAAAAGATGTCATCCTGGCGTAATCAGTGGTTTGGTGGAATGTTGGAGAAAAGCAGAAGCAAGTTGGTGGTGGTAGTATTTATCCTCTCTGGGTTTGAAATAGTAAGTATGGCACGATTGGTGGTTGGGATTGTGCGGTGGTGGTCTTAATCGTGGGGTGTTTTGTATTGTGATTTGAGAGTGGTTGTTGGGTGGTGGTGCGGTGGCGAGTGGGGGTTGGTTGTGAGCGTGGCGGAGGGACGACTTGAGAGACGATAATGAAGGATGGAGAGAGGAAGAGGTCTTTGCCACGCGTTTTATGCAACATGGTTTAACCGCAAGTGTATGGTGTCAAGTTTTGTAATATAGTGATAGAATTGAAGTGTCGAATCCATTGGGATTGGAATTATTTCAACTTCTACTTTATTCAGAAAACCAATTTTTGATTTGATGTGTTCATGCTATATTAATATTATGTGAATTAAATGGCATTTCAAACATCTCAATATGAAATATATAAAAATAATCAATGCAAGGAAGTCCAGGGAATGATTTCATCGACCTGTCAACAGTGTTTTTCAATCTCTATGGTTATTTCTCTAAATTTTTCTCAATTTATAGGCAAGAACAGTAAATTAATCCCATTCCCTCTCTCGAGTGCCGAATAGAATTTATTTCTATACTCTAACCCCAATATCTCTATTTCGGATTAGATCTATAAAAATTATTAAGTCCTTGGTTCTTGATTTGAATTAAGCATCAAAGAATTCATACTTTCTCTCGAAATCTACGAAATCTAAGTTATGTTATTCGTAGATTAAGATTAAATCTCCATCTCTCGAGTGCCGAAATTCAATACATCAAATCATTCAACCATTGATTAGGTGATTGAAAGCAATAAACACGAATAACATAAATAAATGTTGAAAAATTAAAGAAATACCATATCAACATTCAAACATTGTATCAAGTTGGGTTACATCAACCCTAGATCTAAGATTTTAGTTCATAATTGATGAAAATAATATTCTAAAATGCAGAATAATGAGCATGGAGAAGAAGGGATTAGGAAAAACTCAGTTAATGCTTCAAATCTTCTCCCAATTGTTGTAGATTTTCATCTTTGAAGAGCTTTTTCTCTTGTTTTTGCCTTGAGTCGCCTTTCCAATGCTAGAAAATCCCCTCTTCTAGGTCTTTTTCATAGGTATTTATAGTCTATTGGGTTTTCAAGACGGATCCAAGTTAGGTTGGGTTGAAACATTACCAAAAAAATATGAAATCCCAGTCTCGTGAGGCGGTGCAGTAGCGCCCAAGTCTAGCACCGCAGCCGCAATTTTTTAGTAGTTGGCGCTGCAGCACACAAGTCTGGCGCTAGGCTTACTGAAATTTTTTT